CCTCACGTGAAAAGACACTTGTCAGCTGCCCTTGCTGAAGTCCAGCAGATGTCCAGAACCCAGCAATTTTTCAGCGTTGGCCCAGTGGATGCAACTCCTGTGCTACAGCACTGGGGACTTGCTGTCATCTGGGCTTTGGGACACTGACCACAAGCCACAGGCCCCAGACCTTCAGACCTTTATCAGTTCCCTACGCTGGGCACGGACACCAGCTGGGCGTGCCTGGGTTGTTGAGGCTCATGCAATGCTTGTGTCCCACAACCCTGGGCAACCTCCCGATCCTCATGCAGACAGTCACAAGTGGCCTCAGCCTTTGGCACTCAGCCCAAGGGATGACTGAAATTATCAAAGCGTCTGAGGCTAGACTATCATCCAAGCACCACTAAACATGTCCAAATTGAAAGCGAGGTCTGGGATCAGCCTCTGCCAACAGGGGATAAATGTGTGGAGGAATGGAAGGCAATGGAAGATGCAACATCTCCTCCTTGGCACAGTTGCAAATCCCAGGCCAGCCAATCATAACTGAGAGTTATTTGGGGTAATTTTTCTGATGGCACTCGCAAATCATGGCACACGAGGGCCGTGAGGTGATCACAGTGATAGCACCACACCTCTCCAAAGTTTGGGTCACGTCTTCAGCCCTCCTGGACAGGAACGAGCAACACAAAACTTTGACCTCTTGGTAGTCGCAATTAAAAGTTGCCAGCACAGGTGGACAGGGCCTCAGGAGCAGGATATGGAATTGCAGCATTCCAAAAAGGCACGCACCAACCTTGTCAGGGAAGGACAGAGGAGCTAACTGTAGCTCCATTAGTAATTATTTCTTTAAGGAACACAATGTTAACAATTACAGGTTAAGAGTTATGAAGTTATGAAATTTATGGCTTGAATGCAGAATAAGATAATTGATGTCACACATAGCCTGGGAAAAAAGAGACCAAGTCCAGTTTGTTGTTTCTTTACTGGATTCCTCAACGACATAAAGGAATATAGTTTAAATGGCAGAGTGCATTGTCATATAAATTTGAGAAATCCAAATGGACCGTAATACTAGGTTAGGTTCATCGTGAACTTCCTCTAATTTTAAATGTGCTCTCTCTTGATCCCATTCCATACGCAAGGCCAGAAGCTCTCTTTCATCTATCAGGAACCGCTCCCAGGCATTGGCATCTTATCAAGCTATAGCAGAATGACCTCCCCAGGACATCATTAGCACCCTCAGCACTCCTGTGTGTAACAGAATGACTGATGGACATCCAGCGGCACAGAACAGAGTCCCAGTCTTCACAAGGCACCGGCAAAACACAGCACATGAGTGTCACAAAATGACATCACTGATGACATTGCAAATCACAAGACCTCTGGTTGTTTATTCAGCCATCCCTGACACATATGGAACAACAAAATCAACGCAAGTACCAAATTATTAAAGCTGCCGTCAAGGTCAGATGGGCACAGGCTCAAGAGGAGGACATGGAATTGCATGAATGAAAACATTCCCCACCTCATGACTCAGCAGGCTGGGCCAGCCATGAGATGCTGCCTTCAAAATGCCCCAAGGCCATGGGACAAGGCTCTCCCGCCCCTCTAGAACCAGCATAAAAGCCAGCCCAGAGCCTCTCTCCCTCACACACTTCTCCTGACTCCTGCTCCTGCTGACAACCAGGTGAGTCTCAATCCCCTCCCAGACCCTCCTGCTCCTGAAAACCTGGTCTCTCTCTTCCACCCCACTCAGCCCCAGGTACAGCGGCTCTCGTGCATCCCCACAGCCCCACAAATGCCTCTACACTCCCTCACCCTCATGCATCACCACTCCTCACACCCCCATAACCCTACCCTGCCTCATCCCCTCTCTTTCAGGCACCGTCCACACCGGCTACAACTGCTAAGGGATCTCAGCACCACCCCTGACACCACCGGCTCTGGGTTCTGACAGCAGCTCCTGCAAGCAAAGCACCTGTGTTGGTCATTTTCCTACCTGCAACTCACACCACATCCTGTCTTCTCCTTTCTTCTGTCTCTTCATTCCTGTGCCTCAATAAAGTTGTTCTGCATCACAGCCTCATACGCTTCCTGTTCTTCTGTAATTCCAGTGGTCTCACATCATTACCAAGCACATTCCACACCTCAACAGGCCTTTGGAGTATGTGCAACATCACCTTCCCTCACAAATATGTCACAACAACTAATAAAAACATCTGGCATAGGAAGCACAGGAGGGGACACCTTCCAGAATATGACACAAACCCATCACTGGTTAGACCAAAGTCTTGGACACATCCATGCTCTCCTGGGTACAGCGCTGCTCTGGTCAATCCCTCTCAGAACACACTTGGCAAACTCTCTTCCCCACCAGGACACTTAAACCCCTCCAGCAATAAGAGTCCCCAAATCCTCCACTTGGCTAGGAAATCTGGAGTGCAAGTGCTTCACCTTCCCTGCTCCAGCAAGACCAACATGAGCAGGATTCGCAGCATCATGGAATGTTCAGTATTGGCTCTCCCAGGATCAACAGTCCAACACCTTTTCCACTCTGTGTCCCCCCTGAAAATGACACATTCTTAACTTCTTTAGTAATTGAATTCCATCTTTTTTCCCTCTGCCCTTGACCACTTTTCCTGCACATGTGCATGGCTGAGAACAGCCAGGGTTGTTCAACCTCATTCTCTACAATCAGGGATTTACACACACTAATGACACTCCGCTATCCTCCCTCATCCCCTGGGAGTTCCAGCATTCACAGTTTCTCATGCAGGAATGATTCCCCAGCTGCTCTGGAATCTTGGTGGTTCTGAACTGGTCACTATTCACTAATTCACTAATTAACTTCATTTTCACATTGGGGAGTCTAGCATTGCACACAACATCTCACATGGCACCTCACCAGTGCTCAGAAGACACCAAGAGTCTTCTCATCACATCATCCCTGCCTCATCATAACAATTCTCCCCAGTCCTGATCTAGACACAGGCGATACCTTTTCCCACAATGATACAGGGACACCTCCTGCCCAGTTCCTTTAACCCAGAACTACTCTGAAAGGCATTTTCAGTGTTGAACGCAATTGTTCCAGGTGACACCCAGGTGTTTCTTCCTACCTGACATGAATCCTCACATGAAAAAATATTTGGCAGCTGCCCTTGCTGAACTCCAGCAGATGTCCACAACTCATCAAGTTTTCAGTGTTGGCCCAGTGGATGCCACTCCTGGGCTAAAGCACTGGAGATTTGCTGCCGTCTGGACTTAGGGAACCAGACCACAAGCCACAGGCCCCAGACCTTCAGACCTTTCTCTGTCCACTACATTGGGCACTGACACCAGCTGAACTCACCTGGGTTGTTGAGGCTCATGCAATGCTTGTGTCCAACAACCCTGGGCAACCTCCAAATCCTCATTCCAACAATCACAAGTGGCCTCAGCCTTTGGCACTCAGCCCAAGGGATGAATGAAAATATCAAAACCTTTGCGGTTAGACTATCATCCAAGCACCACTGAACATGTCCCAATTGAAAGTGAGGTCTGAGGTCAGCCTTTGCCAACTGGGATATATGCGTGGAGGCATGGAAGTCAATGGAAGGTGCAACATCTCCTGCTCGGCACAGCTGCCAATCCAAATCCAGCCTATCAGAACTGCGAGAAATTTGGGGCACTTTTTCAGAAGGCACCCTCAAACCACGGCACAAAAAGGCCGTGGGCTGTCCACAGTGATGACACCACACCTCTCCAAAGCTTGGGTCACATCTCCAGCTATCCCTGACTGAAATCATCAGCAGAAAACTTTGACCACTTGGTAGTTGCAATTAAAAGGTGGGCAGAGCCTCAGGAGCAGGTGGACAGGGCCTCAGGAGAAAGATATGGAATTGCATGATTCCAAAAGAACACCAACCCACCTCGTCAAGGAAGGACAGAGGAGCCCACTGAGGTTCCATTAGTAATTATTTGCTTACAGGAACACAATGTTAACAATTACGGGTTATGACCTATGAAACTTGTGGCTTCAATGAGGAATAAGCTAATTGACGTCACAGACGATCTCGGAAAAAAAAGATCAGGCCCAGTTTCTTGTTTCCTTAATGGATTCCTTAATAACGTCAAGGAATACAGTTTAACTGGCAGAGTACATTGTCACATAAATTTCAGAAATCCAAATGGACCACAACACTGGAACATGTTCAGCCTGAACAGCCTCTAATTTTAAATATGCTCTCTCTTGATCCCCTTCAAGACACAAGACCAGGACGTCTCTTTCATTCATCAGGAACAGCTCCCAGGCATTGGGATCTTGCCAAGCTACAGCAGAAGGAACTCCCCAGGGCATCAGTAGCACCCTCAGCATTTCTGGGTGCAACACAATGACTGATGGACATCCAGTGGTTTCAGAAGCAAGTCCCAATCTTCACAAGGCACCCACAAACCATAGCACACGAGGGCCAAACAATAACAGCACTAATGATATTGCAAATCTCCACGGCTCTGGTTGATTATTCAGCCTTCCCTGACATACAAGGAACAATCAAAACAACACACATACCAAATTATTAAAGCTGCTGCCAAGGTCAGATGGACACAGCATCAAGAACAGGACATGGAATTGCAGAATGGCATGAAGGAAAACACTCCCCACCTCATGACTCAGCAGGTGGGGCCAGCCATGAGATGCTGCCTGCAAAATGCCCCAAGGCCATGGCACAAGGCTGTCCCACCCCACCACGATCAACATAAAAGCCAGCCCAGAGCCTCTCTCCATCACACACTTCTCCTGACTCCTGCTCCTGCTGACAACCAGGTGAGTCTCAATCCCATCCCAGACCCTCCTGCTCCTGCACCCCTGGTCCCTCTCTTCCACCCCACTCAGCCCCAGCTACAGCGGCTCTCATGCATCCCCATAGCCCCACAAATGCCTCTACACTCCCTCACCCTCATGCATCACCACTCCTCACACCCCCATAACCCTACCCTGCCTCACCCCCTCTCTTTCAGGCACCGTCCACACCACACGCATGGCTTGCTACGACCGCTGCCGACCCTGCAGACCCACCCCGCTGGCCAACAGCTGCAACGAGCCCTGTGCCCTGCAATGCCAGGATTCCCGTGTCATCATCGACCCTGCCCCTGTGCTGGTCACCCTGCCAGGACCCATCATGACCTCCTTCCCCCAGAGCACCGCTGTCGGATCCACCTCCTCCGCTGCTCTGGGCACTGAGCTCAGTGTGCAGGGACAGCCCATCTCTGGTGGATTTGGCTACGGCCTTGGCTATGGCCGTGGATTTGGCTATGGCTGTGGTTTCGGCTACGGGCAGGGCTATGGCTATGGCCTGGGCTGCTATGGCAGAAGGAGCTATGGCTACAACTGCTAAGAGATCTCAGCACCAGCCCTGACACCACCAGCTCTGGGTTCTGGAAACCAGTCCTGCAAGCAAAGCACCTTTGTTGGTCATTTTCCTACTTGTACCTCTCACCAGATCCCAACTTCTCCTTTCTTCTGTCTCTTCATTCCTGTGCCTCAATAAAGTTGTCCTGCATCAAAGCCTCATATGCCTCCTGTTCTTCTGTAATTCCAGTGGTCTCACAGTCTTACTAAGCACATTCGAGACCTCAACAGGCCTTTGGGCTACGTGCAACAACACACTCCCTCACAAATATGTCACAACAACTAATAAAAACATCTGGCATAGGAAGCACAGGAGGGGACACCTTCCAGAATATGACACAAACCCATCACGGGATCAACCAATGTCTTGGACACATCCATGCTCTCCTAGGTACAGCTCTGGTCAAGTCACTCCCGGTCAGAACACACTTGGCAAACTCTCTTCCCCACCAGGACACTTGAACCCCTCCAGCAATAAGAGTCCCCAAATCCTCTACTTGGGCAGGAAATCTGGAGTGCAAGTGCTTCAACTTCCCTCCTCCAGCAAGACCAACATGAGCAGGATTCCCAGCACCATGGAATGTTCAGTATTGGCTCTCCAAGGGCCAACAGTCCAACATCTTTTCTACTCCGTGACCACCCTCACAATGAGAAATTCTTCACTTCTTTAGCAATTGCATTCCATCTGTTTTCCCTTTGCCCTTGACCTCTTGTCCTGCACATGTGCACTGCTGAGAACAGCCAGTCCTGTTCACCTTCATTCCCTGCCATCCCGGATTTGTGCACTCTGATGACACCCCCCTTATCCACCCTCTTCCCTTGGGAGTCCCAGCTCTCTCCACTTCTCATCCAGGAATGATTCCCCAGCACCTCCAGAATCTTGGAGTTTCTGAAATGGTCGCTGTTAATTAATTCACTAAGATGACTTCATTTTCACATTGGGGTGACTAGAATTGCACACAACACCTCACATGGGACATCATCAGCGCTCAGAAGGCACCAAGAGTCTCCTCATCACATCATCTCCCTGCCTCATCACAACCATTCTCCCCAGTCCTGATCTGGAGACAGGCAGTGCCTTTTCCCACAACGATACAGGGACACATTCTGACTCATTCCTTCTAACCCAGAACTACTCTCAAAGGTGTTTTCAGACATGAAAATAATTGTTCTGAGTGACACTCAGATATTTCTTCCTACCTGGCATGAATCTTCAGGTGAAAAAACACTTAGCAGCTGAACTTGCTAGAAGTCCAGCACACGTCCAGAAGGCAGCAAGTTTTCAGTGTGGGCCCAGGGATCAGCATGGAGGACTTGCTGCAATCTGGACTTTGGGACAGTGACCACAAGTCACAGGCCCCAGCCCTTCAGACCTTTCTCTGTCCACTACGTTGGGCACGGACACCAGCTGGACTCACCTGGGTTGTTGAGGCTCATGCAATGCTGGTTTCCAACAACTCTGGGCCACATCCAAATCCTCCTTCCAACAATC